CATTATTTTATTTCTGCGCATTATACAACTACGCAGCAGTGTGAGGAAAAGAATCTGAAGCAGGTGGAGGAGCAAGTACTGTCACGTGTAAAAAATCGCCAGACTAATGGGTGAGGATGCTCGATGTGTTTTGGCTGCGACTTGTATCGTGCAGTGATTTTCTGGGTGTTGTTGCTTGTCGCATATCTGCGCGGTGCCTGAGTACATGAGACGAGCCTTGAACGCGACCACGACATGTCTTCGTGGACAGGCGTGCACCGCTGCAGAGCGCGCTTGCTCACTGCTACTGCAGGCACTGTTCTAAGGAGCACTGCGAGAATCCCTCCACCGTTGGTGCCTGGTGTTTCTTAAAAGTCCGCTGCATTATGCGAGTTTAGTCCATAATCTGCATGTACAGGAGCCCCATATGAGGCGGAGCTCGCGGCAGCAATGTCCTTGTCGATGTTGGCGCATCGAGCTGCTTGAAGCAAGCTAGCGTTCAGCCAGGGAGTCAAATATCCAATTGCGCGTTTAAACTGTAGTTGAGATGAATGCCTTCCTCCTTGCCGAGGCAATGAAAGGGCCGACGCGCCGCATTCAAGGCAGCCAGGCCTGGTGCCAACTTTGACTAGCGGCGTGCTGTTGCCAGTAATACGTTGCTAAGTGACCGTCTTGGCGAAGGGAGGCTGCTTGATTCCATCAGTGACTAGATGCATGACCACGCAAGCAGTACTGAGTTAGCCTAGTGTGAGACCTTTCTGTTCATGTGGCTTTCGGAACGGGTGTGTGTGGAGCTTCGGGCCGGGTTTGGCGTTTAGGGTTTGGGGTGTCCAGGGTCCAGGGCTTTGGAGTTGCGGAGGTTTGGTTGGTAACAGGCATCGTACGTCTGGTCTAAGCACCGCCATGTCCACCACCGAGCACAGATCATGTTAAGACTCCGAATAGCACAAACAAGACTAAGAGTATGGGGAACATGCTGGCGACACACAGGCTGCGGCTTGAACCACCACCGTGTTCAGGGTTTCTCGCAGGGCTTTGGTTCGAGAGCTCCGGTCGGGTTGAGTTTTCTGTTGGCTGTCCGCCCTTTGGAAAGGTGCAGTGTTCGATTTCCCGACTCTGCGACGCTGATTTCATGCTGCTAGCATTTCAATCCCGATGCGCTATTATATATAAGTCTGAAATCCTAGGCCCGGCATCCGAAAACCTAAGCTCTTTGCCAGGCGATGCCCGAAGACTCTCGGTGAATTTGATTGGCATGGCTAGTGGCTGATCTGCCTTCCTGGAAGCGTTGATGATGCAAAGCTATGAAATGTGTGTGTGTGAGAGATTGAACCCTGAACCGAAATTCAGAGACCCTGCAGTAGACCCAAACCCGACATGTTCGGCGCATCATCCTGAACCAAGCTTACATCAGGAGGCAGCCTAGCCTAGCATCTTGAGTCCTGTACAGGGCAGACTTCAAGAATACTGCCTGTTACGTGCAAGTTCATTCGGACATGGGCATGTTTCGTTGAGGCCCATTCCCGTGGAGAATGCTGGAGATTTTGGGTCCCTGCTTTGAGGGCCCTTGTAGCCAGGATCTGACTTAGGTGTCGATGGGGTATTCGAGCTTGGTCGATGCAAGCCCCGGCCACAATCTTTTGAGCGCAGCGACCGGTGAAAAGATGAATGCTCCAAAGAAGTTTTCAGTGCGCAGGTTTCGCACTGCCATGCTGGAGCTCTCCTGCGAATGTGGCGTCACCCGGACTCTGGCACCGTCCAGCGAGGTGCTTAAGCGACGCCTCCTCCTGCCAGAGATGACGAGTTGTGTGTCATCGACTCACGCAGTCAAGAGTTTGGCTTCGCGGCTTTAAATGTCTGCTAGCGTTCCGCTGTGATCTCTTGCGTAGGCTTCATTCCTGTGTCTGTACGTGCGTATATGTACTTTATGTACTTGTTCTTCACTCCTTCTGGAATCGTCCAGGCAGGTTGGAGGAGGGCGTGGTCCTCGGGGAGGAGGCACGCCGAAGCGGAGCTGCCTGTTGTTTTGCCCGTCAACTGACCTCATCCTTTGTGTTGCATAATTCGTCTACATGCGACGTGAATCGTTATAGCGACGCAGATATGATAAATCTATGGACGCGCTATTTAGGTATCTTGCCATGTTAACTTCTGAAACTTTTTCTGAGATGCAACGGTGGAATTACGATGCACTGTACAGCTGTGCTGTGCCCATTGGGCTAAACGGAGATAAAGGGTGTTCGATGATTGGTCTTGTCAACGTACTCTGAGTGGCAGGTTGCTCGGCTATGCCCGTGGATAGCCTGCTGATGTGACCTTATTGGCTGTTCTGTCAGGCTGGCGAGTATTTCGGCAAGTTTCTCGCCGCTGGCGCTGCAGAAGCAGTGCGCAGGCAGCTCGTGTCGTGGTGGAGTTTGCCTGTCTGTGCATTTAGGGCTGTTCGATCGGAATTGGTAGCCTTGCGCGAGGAAGGACAAACATTGCTTGCCGGACGAGCTTTGTGCTTTGGTGCACACCAAGCTAGCTAGGCCCCTAGGGCTCGCACCTGCGGCGCGGTGGGCCTCGGCGTCGAGGATGGAGTCTGACCGCACTGATTTTGCTTTCTTGTCGCACGCAGCTTGTAGTTTGAGAGGTGGAACTTACGAGTTTAGGAAATGTCGCATAGGTATCCGACAACACATGCGGAGCTGCAAAGAGTATTTGCACGCGCGAGGGGGCGCCTCCATCTGCCTTCAAGCTGGCTGTGCGAGCTTTGGTCGCAGCGAGCACTCCACTATCAGCAGGTCTATACTTGACGCCCGATTGCAGCGCAGACTGGTTCAGAGATTGAAGGGCTGAAGGGTGATCGGAGGAAGCCCGTAGTTCCAAGCCACTCGATCCTAAGGATGGGGGAGCGAGCAGGCATTCTTAAATGCACGAGCGCGACGCCTGCGCCTCAGGGGCCTGGGAGCGGGACCGGCGCTCCTGTCGTCTGTGACTCCCTACGTTTTGGACGGTTCGAAGGCAAACCTGTGTAGTCGTAGATGACGGGTGTTGTCTTGGTGCCTCCCGGGGCCTACTTTGGGACTTTACTTTTGGGCCTCCTGGTGCCTATTTGGGGGCCTCCCGGGGCCTCCTGGGGCTTTGGGGTCTCTTGGGGCCTTTTGCGGGGTTGAGTGAACTGAAAGCGAGTTGCACTAATTTACTTAAACTCGGCTTGTCAGCTGTCGGAGATCTGGGAGGGATCCGGGGTGTCTGGCGGTTTGTGGGCGTTTTGAATTGAAGTGAATTGAAGTGATTTGAAGTGAATTGAAGTGAATTGCAGTGAATTGACATGAATTGACATGAATTGACATGAATTGAAATGGATTGAAGTGCATTGAGGTGAATTGAATATGCGGCTTGCCAAAAGCAGTTTGAACTAACTTACTTAAACTCAGCTTGTCAGCTGTTTGACAAATAACTGGGGAAATTCAGAATGATACCACATACAATTTCTATTCATGTTGTCTTGAGGGTTTAGGGTTTAGAGTTCTAACGTCTGATTCCGGGGCCCAGCTCATTTTCTAGGGTTCAATGCAAGAAGACAGGTCTTCTGTCTAGAACAACCCAGAAGGCATACACCATGAAATATAGAGGGATCCTTAAGATGATGAAGTTTAGGGCTTAGGATTTGAGGTTTAGGGGTACAACCCTAAACCTCAAATCCTAAACCCTAAGCCCTAAACCCTACAGAGGGGCCCCAAAAGGAACCCCACCTTGTCTTTGGGACGGAGGGCAATGTTCTTTGTTCAGAAGCCTCATCAGCTTGCCCTAAGGATCCATGCACCTACGTAGTTTACACTTGGGCCATAAAACCACTACGTAGGAACCCCTTTAAGCCCCAAAAAATTGTCTATGTAGGTATTATGGATCCTTAGACTTCCACCGCAGTCTTTCTCTTGACGATCCCATTTGCAAAGTCTGCTGCGCTGTCTTTTTGCCTCAGCCCTGGCCGAAAACAAAGATTGCAGAGATGCATGAAACCTAAACCCTAAACCCTAAACCCTAAACCCTAAACCCTAAACCCTAAACCTTACTAAACCTTAAACCCTCTTGAAGAGCCACCAGCTCCCTGAAGAGCTGCTATGAAATGCTTTAGTTTGATAGTACCGTGCTTTCTGCGTAATCTACCCTTTGTGGTACTTTACTGTAACTTTAGATCCTTACCCTTTTTGGGTTAATTGGGTTTCTTAATAAGGCAGCTAAAAGTTTAATTTTTTAGTTACCCTCCTGAGTGCAGCCAAGTACCCAACCTCCCAGACTCCTGGTAAATCCCCTTGAGGGTTCCCAAGAATGGCCCACTAGTGTGGTAGGATGTCTGAGCATACATCATGAAAGGTGAGTTAGACCCTAAACCCTAAACCCTAAACCTTTTGGCAGCATGTATCAGCTTCACTTCCCTGCCCCCCCCTCAACCCGAAACCACGCGCGGCGCGCAAAGAGTGGTGTAAGCATGTCCAAACCAAGTCCCTGTTTGGGGAAGGGTTTAGGGTTTATAGGGTTTAGGGTTTAGAGTCTAGGGTTTATGGTTTTTGGGTTTAGGGTTTAGGGTTTAGGGTGATCAGAGGGAAGGTTAGCTCCTTCAGGCAAGCCCTCGAGCCTTCAAAAACCGCGGTCGGCAGAGTTCCGAACGATAGGCAGCCCGCACAATGCACACCAGACATTTCTGATACCCTTCGTAGTTATACTATAATATCCCCCCAAGAACCCTATTCTTTATAACACTAGGACCGGGAGTAGGCTCGTTTTTTTTTTTTTGGGTTGGGGTTCCCTGAGAATCCCCTCAAAACATAAAAGGGCACTGCACCCTTTTTTTTATTCCTAGGATACTCCCGGGTCCAGCTGTCACTTGGGGGTTGTGTTTTTTGGATCCTCCGCGTGTTAGTCTTAGCTGTAGTCTTAGTAGCATCCCTGAAACGTGTTTATAGGGTTGGTAGGGTTGAAGGGTTTAGGGTTTAGGGTTTAGGGTTTAGGGTTTAGGAGGTCCTCGAATCTGCCAGGACCCTGGTTGCTGCTGCAGTGGCTACACGCAACGCCGCGTCCTGTCCTGTGAACCCGATACTACCGCAAGGACCCGGAGTAGGCCCAAAATGGCCTTTTTTAAGGGTTTAGGTTCCCTTCTCAGCCCATGTAAACCAACAAGGACACCCTTTTTTCCTCCCATGTTAGTCTCGGGCCTAGCCGATGTGTCGTTTTCATGGGCAGGCGGGGTTTTTTCGCGGCGGGGGGGGGTCATGAATCGGGGGGGGGGGGGTAGCGTTTCTGAGCTATTACACCTCTCGGGTACCCTTCTAAACAATGTGAGTAAGGAATGTATTATGAGAGACCCGCAAATGGGCCCATAATCATTGAGATACCCTCAAATCCCTATATCATGCTTCTCGTGCACTGTCCCGTCGGGAGTTCAGAACTCTTCTACAACAGAAACTTCAACAATCACCTTTAGAGGGATAGCCGCAAGGGGGAGGGGGGCGGGTTAGGGTAGCGGACAATTTGACCATATCCGAAACAAGCCACCCCCAGGCGCCGCCACCAAAGCCCAGCAAAAAAGGAAGTGGTTTGGAAACTCTAAGCCCTAACCCGAATCCTTCATTTTGGCTTATAATAGGGCCTGACCCCTAAACCCTAAACCCTAAACCAGGGTTGCAGGCCACTCAGGTCTGGGGGTTTTAAGGCTCGACACGGGCTTCTTACAATCTCTTTGGTTCAAGGTTCCCCTTGTCAAGTAACCAACCAAAAGAAGGGCACAGTACCCTTTTTTCATAATATGGGATACTAAGAAGCCCTAAACCCTAAACCCTAAACCTTAAACCCTAAACCCTAAACCTTAAACCTTTGAGCCTAAGGATAAGCCCAGGTGCAGTCACGACAGCAGCGCCGTGAGGATCGCTGCGTCCCAACTCCTCGCGTCGCGGTGGGGCCCTAAGACAGTCGGCCCAGTAGCCCTAAACCCTAAACCCTAAGCCCGAAGCCCTAAGCCCTAAGCCCTAAGCCCTAAGCCCTAAGCCCTAAGCCCTAAGCCCTAAGCCCTAAGCCCTAAGCCCTAAGCCCTAAGCCCTAAGCCCTAAGCCCAAGGTTTAGAGTTTAGGCCTTGGCTCCTCCATCTGTCAGCTCCTAAGCCCTCAAGCCCTAAACTCCGAAACTTTCCCTCTTCTCTGGAACCTCAACCCCTACCCAGACTGGAGGATCCAAAAAGTAGATCCCCTAAGGGTTCCTAAGAATGGCCCAATAGTAGTATAGGGTAGAATTTGGGGGGATCCTCCCAGGGGTCTGGGTATACTTAGGCCCTACCTGACTCTGATGCAGCTCTTTTTTGGGTCCGGTATTGGAGATTCCAGTGTGCTGCCCCAAAAACAGGCTCTGCATGGGAGCCTTTACTTGGAGGTTCATGGTACTTGCGAACCTATTTAGAACTGCACTGATATCCCAAGTTTAACCATGTTAGGGCACTTTTTCTTTTAAGTGGGTGATAAGTACAATAATAACTGGGTGATAAGTGCCATGAACCTCCAAGTAGTCTTAGTAGCTGAGTGAGTACACTTTACATGTGTTGGGATACTATAATCCCCTATAGAACTGAAAGTCTACACTTTTTTGGGGCTTCTGAACTCAGCAACTAAGTAGGTAAGGTTTAGGACTTTCGGCTCAGGGAGCAGGGATCTAGTGGCTATCGGGGTCGAAGGGTTTAGGCTTTAGGGTTTAGGGTTTAGTGTTTCGGGTTTAGGGTTAGGGTTTGGGGTTTAGGGTTTAGGGTTTGTGGTTTAGGGTTTAGGGTTTAGGGTTTATGGGCTTCATGGAAGGTGTGAAGGCCTTTGGGATTGTCAGTTAGGGTTTAGGGTTCTTAGTAGCTGAGTGAGCACACTTTACACTTTTTGGGATACTATCATCCCCTGTAGAGCGGAAGTTTAGGGTTTAGGGTTTGGGGTTTACGGTTTGGGGTTTAGGGTGCCTAAACCGAAAAGCCCCAAACCCCAAACCCCAAACCCCAAACCCCAAACCCCAAACCCCAAACCCCAAACCCCAAACCCCAAACCCCAAACCCCAAACCCCAAACCCTAAACCCTAAACCCTAAACCGCGATTTCCGCTTCTGGGGCCGACTTGCGGCCCTTCTGGTCTCCATATCTCCACTTTGTTTAGGGTTTTGGGTTTGGGTTTGTGGGTTTAGGGTTTAGGGTTTAGGGTTTAGGGTTTTACCCTAAACCCTAAACCCCAACCATACACCGTACTCATTAGCAGGCCTGGGAGACGCCGTTGCCGAGACTTCTGGGGCACGGCCCTCGTGGCGAAAGGCTCTGGCAGCTGAACTTTGTTTAGGGTTTAGGGTTCGGGTTTAGGGTTTAGGGTTAGGGTTTAGGATTTTGTGTTTAGGTTTCCCGGCTTTGGGCCAGGGATGGTGGGCTTAGGGTTTTGGGTTTTCGGTTCTGGGCTTAGGGTTGAGGGCTTTTGGGTTTGGGCTTTGGGTTTTGGGCTTCAGGGTTTTGGGCTTCGGGTTTGTTGGGCTTTCTTGTTTTGGGCTTCGGCTTTTGTGTTCTGGGTTCACGGTTTTGGGCTGAGGGTTCTGGGTTAAGGGTGAGGAAAGGAGATGCATAAGGAACTTGTATCTCAAGACATGACTTTGCCTTGGCCAAGCTACTCACCTTCATGGGTGGTTTTCTCAATTAGGGTCCCTTTGTGGGTCCTATGTTTACTACCGCATCCTTATCACAGCGACCCCGCACCATATAGCCCAATAACTGACCGAGCCCCCCAGATTTCCTACTAAGTCCTCTGCAGGTTTCAGGGTTTTGAAACCGATGTGACTGTCCTGCCTTGAGGGATGGCTTAGCAACGTGAAGGGTTGAGAGCTGAGGGTTTTCAGAGATGCTGTCCCCAAACCCAAAGTCTAGGGTTGAGAGTTGAGGGTCACACAGAGACATCCTGGTCTCCCAGCTGCGAGCCAGCGCCCGACGCGCCACCCGCCCAAAGTCGTCGACCTCACCCTGTAAACCCCCATGCATTGCAACCCCGCGACCCCAGAATTCTGAACTCCTAAATACAAAACCCCGGCTATACCCCAATAACCCCCCCCCCCCCCCCCCCCCCCCCCCCCCAAATCAAAGAATACGCCTTGAATCATATTGAGGGTCAAGGTCTGTGCCTCAATTCAGGCATATCCGGCTCTCTGGCTACCAACGTCTATTGCCCTGAGCCCTCAACATTACCCTCCCTAAACCCGAAGACCTAATTCATAAATAATACCTTGACGCTCTAAACGTAAAACCTAAAAAACTCGAAACCCTAAGCCCCAAACTCCAGATCCCAGACCCTAAGCCCTGAACCCTACACCCCGAAAACCTGAAAGCCCCAACAAACCCAAAGGATCCATGTACCTATATAGTATATACTTGGGCCTTAAAGGGATTCCTATATAGTAGCTTTAGGGCCCAAGTATATACTATGCAGGTACATGGATCCTTTGGGAAATGTTCTTTTTGAGGCCGCAGCCTCCCAGGCCGGTCAGCGAGGACCGGGGTTCTCATGCCAATGGAGCCGAAATGCCCCAGGGGGTTCAGGGGTTGGGGGGTTTAGGGTTTAGGGCTTAGGGCGTAGGGTTTAGGGTTTAGGGTTTAGGGTTTAGGGTTTAGGGTTTAGGGTTTAGGGCAGTATGGGCCCTTGGTCCCTGATTTTTTTTTGGGGGGTCTACAAGGGGTATATAACCGGTCCCCAGCAAAGTGGCCATGTGCAGGGACCCTTTCTTCAGGAGTTTAGGGTTTTTGGGGGTTCGGGGTTTAGGGTTTAGGGTTTAGGGTTTAGGGTTTAGGGTTTAGGGTTTAGGGTTTCGGTTTTAGGGGTTCAGGGTCAAAACCTTAAGCCCTGAATGTCCGAAAGCGCTTGGCTCCTGACGGAGAGTCGAGCTCGGCTTCGGGGTTTAGGGTTTAGGGTTTAGGGTTTAGGGTTTAGGGTTTAGGGTTTAGGGTTTAGGGTTTAGGGTTTAGGGTTTAGGGTTGGCTTTGGGGTCTCGGAGGGGAGAATTCTGAGGGTGAGATGTGAGTCGTACCCAAAGAGCCCAATGCCCCTTAACTAAGGAACGTTCCCAAAATCACTTCTTAGTTGTGCCGGGGACCTAAACTCCAAACCCCAGACCCTAAGCCCTAAACCCTAAACCCTAAACCTTAAACCCTACTGTAAGCCATGTGCGCAGGTGTCCTGTGCACATGCAGCCCACAACGCATTCCTGGAGCAGCAGGATGCCTTGTTTCTTCCCTTCAGACTCAGTTGAAAAGCCCTGAACCCTCAACCCCAAACTCTCCTAAACTCTACACCCCAGTTTAGGGTTTAGGGTTCAGGAAGCTCCGACTCATGTCGTTTAGGGTTTAGGCCTAGGGTCTCAGGGGAGGGGTTGAGGCCGTTCCGAGTTCCGGGTGAGGGTTGCAGTCGTCCGGCACGGATTGGGCGTCTGGTTGTTGTAAGGTATAATTCTGTGACACCGACATCCAACATGTGTAACCCTGCCCCGGCTTCTCTAGATCCCCCACCTCCACCCATACCACAGACCCCCGACCCCAAGCCCTAAATCCGAACCCCCTAAACCCTACACCCTAAAGGCTAAACCCTAAACCCGAAACCCTAACCCTAAACCCTAAACCCTAAACCCCAAGCCCTAAATCCCAACCCCCAAGCCCTCAGCAGAACCCGAGTCTCCTGTGTTCTACAGGGGATTCAGGTGGCTTTGGGCCTGGCTTCAATCCTTTTGAGAGCCTGGAGCACCCCAGAGAGCCCAGTACGCCTTAATTAAGGAATATACCCTATATTATTTAGGGTTTAGGGTTTAGGGTTTAGGTTTTAGGTTTTAGGTTTTAGGGTTAAGGGATGCTTCGTATGATGTAGGGAAAGCTCCTTGATTGATCACACCTCAAATCTACCCCAAGGAGATACACCCGCCTTGTTGAGAAGGGCATAAACGTTACTCTCTCTAGGTAAACCCTAAACCCTAAACCCTAAACCCTAAGCCCTAAGCCCTACACCCTAAACCCTAAACCCTAAACCCTAAACCCTAAACCCTAAACCCTAAACCCTAAACCCTAAACCCTAAATCACACCCTAAACCCTAAACCCTAAATCCTCAACCCTAAACCGTAAACCCGGAAGATTAGACCCTTTCCCTTTGCCTTGCGTCAGAGGAGGCCTTTCGGATTGACAAGGGTAGCGTTCCCACAGCCCCGCCGAAAGCCGAAAAACCCTGAGACCCAAAAGTAGTAATTATTCCGACTCCTCTACCTCGGGATGTTCCGCCTTGTACTAACAGGCCGTCTATAGGGATTCTAGTACCCCGATTATTATCCCAACTAAGGACCGCTCCTACGAGGGGCAGGGTTTAGGGTTTAGGGTTTAGGGTTTACAACCTCTACCCGAAACCCTAGCCCAACACAGGCCAGGCATAATAGCAACTGCAACACTTCGTCACACTACTGCCAACAAACAGCAACAACGACAGCAGTCACCGTCGCAACAGCTTGGCAATAGCAACATTACAGCTAAACAAACTACCCTAAACCCTAAACCCTAAACCCTAGACCCCTTATCCTACATACACACAATCAAAAAACTTCTCCTTTGGAGGAGCGCCGCTTGAGCCGGAACATGGTCGCCTTTGTTGTGTAGAGGCAAAGACTTTTTGGTGCGTGCATGTGGGGTTTAGGGTTTAGGGTTTAGGGTTTTAGGGTTTAGGCTGTAGGGTTTGTGGCTTCTTGTGTGTTGCAGCAAGCCCAAATGCCGTTCATACTATCTGGTTAACCCCGAGGCTTACTAATTCCACCAAAAGTCTGTTCAGCATATCTCTTCCTGGACCTCCAAGTATAGTTCCGTTTTCTGGGTGCCTAGTTTTCTTTTTTGCATTTTACTGACCACGTACTCAAAGGATCCACTACAATTCCATAGAGGTCGTCTAAGTTGGACACGGACAGCCGCGGGGCAGTTCTTTTTTTTTTTTTTTTTGGGGGGGGGGGGGGGCTTTTGTCTTGGCTAGTTTTCCCACCTCCTCTGTACGCGGAGTTTTCAGATGAAGATCTTGGAGAAGATAGGGTTCGGTTGTAATTAATCCGTGTGGAAGGTACATGGTATCTGCAGGGCGTCAGGAAGAAACTGCGTAGTCATTCCGATTCGTGGTAAGCTTGCAGACCTTGCAAACCCTAGCCCGACGAAGTTTAGGGTTATAGGATAGAGGGTGTGGGGTTTAGGGCTGTTTTAGGGTACAGGGTTGGTTTAGGGAGTCATGTGTAGGATATGATTGTGACCGGGCTTGTCCACTCTGTCTTCTTCGCTCCCAGCCCTCAATATGCTGCCTGAGGAGGTACCGAAGAGGGCAGCCTCGTGACGCAATCGCTGCGTGCTCTCTTGCAGTTCGCGCAGCTTCCCTGAAACTAGACTCACCCATATAAGGGCCAGCAAGAACCCTACACTTAGCATCCCCTTATCCCAGAATTCATGATATCATACCCTAAACCCTAAACCCTAACCCCTAAACCCCTAAACCCCTAAAACCTTCCTGGGCCCTAAGCTTTCATCGTTTTTCTGGCCTGCACATCTCGACTTCCCTCACAAGTCATGGATAGCTGCCACGGCCACTGCTAGGACCCTGGCTTGGTCCTTTTTGGCCTTTGTATTCAGGGTTTGGGTTCCCTGAGAAGCCCCTTCAAACCCCCCAGAAAGGGTTTAGGGTTTAGGGTTTAGGGTTTAGGGTTTGTACCCTTTGAATTCCTAGGTTACTCTTGGGTCGTGTTTAACTTATGCCCGAACTCTTCCAAGCCCGCCTCTCGCCTCGGCCCTAACAAAGCGAATATGTAACACGAGATCGAGAAAGGTCTGACACCAGAACGGGCGCCTTAGTTTGCATTCTCGAGTTGAAGGAGGGTTGGGGTTTGGGGTTGGGATGTTCCCCCGTATGCTTACGGTCCATAATCGGGAGTGTCATCAGGGGGGGGGGGGTACTTTAATCCCTATGAAGGACTGCTAGTACAAGGGGGAACATCCCAAAATTTAGGGGTTAAACAGGGTTGTGCAGACATGACTTGAAGCTCTGCAACTTAGGGGAAGCTGCCACATGCTGATCCATCTGCCATTCGTGTACAGGTCTTGTTGTCAGGCTGCTGCACAGTTTGCTCAAACATTTGTGCCCTGCGGGGCGGCATCAACAACTCACCGTAGGACCTGCAGGGGTTTAGGTTTAGGGTTGATGCAGTTGAAGCTTTCGCGGGGTGAGGCTATGGCTGCCGGGGCACATTGCAGCAGCTGGCGGAAGGCATGGACAGTGGATCCAGCGAAGGTCTCAAGATTAGGGTCGACAAAAATGCAATTCCGTGTCGGTGGGCAAGAGCATGAGACCCCCCAAGCCCTAGTCGTCTTGCTGCTGAGCAGCAATGACTCCCGACCTTCGATGGTGTCGCCATGCATTATTTTAAACTGACAGTGCAGTCGACAGCTGCCTGTTCTGCTTAGGGCCACTGCCACGGAAGGGTGCAGCCAGCCACCTTTTCCTGCTGGCTTTGGCGTGATGCACGGCACAGCATGGTACGCTCGGAGACGCAGCCGCAGAAAAGAGCCGCTGCTGAGCCAGAACCCTTGGTGGCCGTACACCAACTTAGGAAGTAGGGTTTAGGGGCTTCTGGCTGAGGTGTTCTTAGTATTGGGAGTAGGTAACCTTTAACCTTTTTGGGGTAGTATAATCCCCTTATAATCCCAAAGGTTAACCCTTAGTTCCCCTAGGTACTGGACAACCAAGATGAAGTGAAGATCGTCCAAGTCACTTGCCAACAGGCACCATCCGGCTCAGGCACTTGCTAAACAAACAAGCTCCTAGCTTTGCCAGCTTCGCTCACCAGTGGCTTCGATAGCCATGCCCAGCTCCCGTTTTCTCACCAAAGCAGCGAAGCTCTACGAGTACGTGTCGTCGCCGAGGAGCTCATGCCTCAATAGCCGCACCCTAAACCCTAAACCCTGACCCCTAAACCCTAAACCCTAATTTGAAGCACCTTTTGCCATAAGATACCTATGTCGCGAAGCTTTGCGCTGAGCGATGCTGCATCTTCTGGCTCCTGACCCCTAGACGTGACCTTCAAGTGTCGTTGAACCCTGTTAAGCCCCATACTTCAGCGCGGTAACCCTCCCCCTCCCAAGACCCTGCTAGTATCTTTGTGGTGCTTTACTGTAACTTTAGATCCTTAGCCCTTTTGGGTTTACTGGGTTTCTTAATATGGGAGTTAAAAAAAAGGTACTTTATAACTACCCTTCTGAGTGCAGCCAAGGTATGATGCACATGATGTAGATGATGCATATGATGTATATGCCTTCGTATATGTATGTGCATATGTATTTGTTTTAGTTTGTGTATATATATACATATATGTACATACCCTCATGCTTAGCCCTGTAGTCTCTCTCAGCCCTCCTCCCGGACTGTGGCGGTACATAGAACTTGTAGGTTCATGGTACGTATTATCCCAATAAGAGCTGTAATTAGAATATGTTTAACCATGTTCTGCACTTGAGGGGCTTAGGAGTGGGTCATAGGTACAGTTATAGCTTGGACTTATAAATAACATGAAGCTCCAAGTAATTCCCTGAACAGCCCCCTGATCAGTAACGGGAATCCAGAGCTTAAAGCCCCAAACACTTGCGAACCGCCAAACCTCAAGCCCAAACCCCACACCCTATAAACCCCAAACATCCCTAAACCCTGTAAACCCCAAACATCCCTAACCCCGAAATACCCTAAACCCTACACTCGAAACATCCCTAAACCCCGAACATCCCCAACCCCTAAATACCATGAACCCTAAACTGCGAACATCGCGAAGCCGTAAACCTAAACCCTGAAACCTAAACCCTAAACCCTAAACCCCACCTATTGGCAGGAGCCCCGGATCACCGGCCAGCGTGCGCAGCCCTAGTGGGTTGAAACCGGCGAAGGCCGGGCTTCTAGGTGCCCCACCCCCCCCCCCCCCCCCCAGCAACTCCAATAAACCCCCGAAAGGATTTCAGGGTTTAGGGTTTAGGGTTCAGGGTTCAGGGTTCAGGGTTTAGGGTTTAGGGTACAGGGTTTAGGGTTTAGGGTTTAGGGTTTGGGGTTTGGGGTTTGGGGTTTAGGGTTCAGGGTTCAGGGTTCAGGGTTCAGGGTTCAGGGTTCAGGGTTTAGGGTTTAGGGTTTACGGCTTCGGGATGTTCGCGGTTTAGGGTTTCGGGTTTCGGGTTTCGGCTTTAGGGTTCAGGCAGGCCTATTCGTTGAGTACAATTTGGGGTCCCAAATTTGAGTTTGTCAGGGTGGTCAGAGTTGTAGTATTCGCTTACGCTCCCTTGATGATTATACTATAACAACACCCCAAAACCCTATTCTAATAATTCAGGCCCCTACAGTAGGGGGGGTGTGGTGGTCGCAGAGTACTACCGGACCCTAAACCCTGAACCCTGAACCCTAAACCCTAAACCCTAAACCCTAAACCTGCCAGGTAGCTTGGGGGTAAATTCGTGCTTCCTTTTGTTCTAGGGTTTAGGGTTTCGGTTTAGGGTTTAGGGTTCAGGGTGTATCAACCCCTTTAGAAGAAAGAACGGGGTGACCCCTGTGGTCCCTCGGGTTGTTCTGGGACCTAAGTCAGGTGCAGGATTTTCCTAAACCCTGCACCCTAATTCCTTCAATTCTGCCAAACTCCGTGCGAGGTCGAAGTCGGCACACCTGTACCTTCTGCCATCCACACAGGCGCCCGTGGGACTCAGTTTTTTTGGTTGGCTTTCTAGGATGCCCCCCATGGGTTAAGGTTTAGGGTTCAGGGCTCGGGGGTTACGAGAAGGCTCTAATACAGCTACTCTTGAGTTAGGATTATGGTCAATGATAGCATACTGCCCTTAAACAAGGACTACATCGGAGCCTATAGGTAGGGTTTAGACGTCATAAACTCCATCAAGCATCAAAGGGCACGCTTGTTGTTTTCTTTCCCCCCTGGGTAGCTGGGCAACCTTTTCTTTCATGACTGCAGCTAGGTTCCGGGCTCAATATTATGAAGAAACCCTAAACCCTAAACCCTAAACCCTAAACCCTAAACCCTAAACCCTAAACCCTAAACCCTAAACCCTAAACCCTAAAGGGCTAAACTCTTGTGGCTCAGGCCGCGAAGAGTTGCCCAAACTCTTGGGCATGCGCCGACCCTCCAAGACGGCCGCTAACACATCGCCCGCCGATGCAGATGAGCAGCAAGAAGCGCTTTAATTGAAGGGGCCTGAACAATTGGAATAAGGCTTTGGGGGTTATTATAATATTATAGTATGAGTACAAAGGGACCACAAGGGAATATTATTAGGTAATTATTCCAACTCCTATGGTAACCCCCCTTAGACCCCCCCCCCCCCCAAAAAAAAAATCAAGATGCTTGAAATGCCCAGGGTACACTGAGGCCCTCATTTAGAGCTACTTGGGGGTTTTAGGCCCAACCGCAAACCCCTGAGATCCCTAATATAGGGTCAGAGCCATTACTCATCGTAATTCCGTATGGCCCCTACATAACTACACTATAATAACTTCCAAAGCCCTATTCCCATTTTTCGGCCCCATAATAACCCAGCACAACAAGGAAGGGGTGCCTTACCGGTTGTTGCTGTAGGTCACAGCGGAACCC